AGACACGGTGACACATGTCTGTAATCCCAGGACTCAGGAGGCAGAGGTAGGAGGACTGGCTTAAGGTCATCGTGCCAGCTTGGACGACAAGAGAAAACAAAACAAAACAAAACAACAACAACAACAACAACAACAAAAAACCCCACTACAAACAATGAACTTAGCCTTTCTTTTCCCTATGAACTTTTCAGAGTAGCCAAATAGCCTTAATTCATGAGCGAGTTCTGCACAGAAGAATGGTTCAAAAAGGCATTTATAGTTCCTAGTAAAACAATATTCAAACAATACTCATCAGTCGGTCAAACCTCCCCTCTCCCCCAAAAAGAAGGCTGGTGGTGAACGTCACAAGGATCAGGTATCAGCACCACCTGACTACGAACACACAAATGCAAGCTTACTCTTTGCTTTTCCCAAGATCATTAGCTAATACTTCAACTAACTTTAAAGGTTGTGTCAAAATATGAAAACTAAGGGGAAAATATTTCCAATTTTCATCAAGATTTCTAAAGATTTGAGATTTCATTGCACCCTAACCCCCGTTTTAAAAATCAAATGGGGTAATTTAATACTGGGAAAAAAAATTTTTAAACTGGAAAAATATTTTGCTGTCTTTCAAAGAGGAGCCTATGTTGAGAAGCCTGGTCGCAGTGCTCCCGCAGCAGCAGCGCGCTCCCACAGCTCACCTTGGAGTTTCTTTGGCATGTTCTTGCATACACTGCTGAAGGAGATCTATAAATTTCTGTGGGAAAGCTAAGAAATCCACCAGAAGACCTTGTTGGAATTTTAAACTAGATAGAAGACAGGAAAAGAATATTCTTAGAAATGTAGCTACCATCTTAACTTACATTTCATACCCTGAAAGTTTCCTTATTTACTAAAGTAATCATTAAGAAACAAACAACAGAAAAACTAAACTAGGAAACTTTTGATTTTTATAGACCTTATCAATGGAAGGAAAAAGTCAAGAATTTTAGCTAAAACTCCAAAATTTTCAGTTAAGTAGAGGTCTGATAATCTATAAAATGTTTATTTTCAAAAATATCCTAAATAATTACTGAACAAGCAGTCTAGTATTCCCAGAATAACTTACTATCTGAACCAGGTATATGTCTCAGAAAAGAACAGTAACAACACATTCATAATATTCAGAAACTAATTCCTAGATTAAATATAAGGCCTGAAAAAATAATTTACCTTTGAAAATCTTCCTCAGATATAACAAGGTTATACAAAAAAAATGGATCCACATCATCAGTCAGACGGATGACTAAATCCTAAAGAAAACAATAGTTTTTTTAAATGCTTTTAGTAGACTTTTGAAAGTGAAACTATCCCAAAGCATCAACATATCACAGTTACAATTCAGACAGTTTTGTATTCTGGTGCTTAGAGAGTTAGAACCTTAAATAGGGGCTAATATTTTGCTCCATGACAGCCATAAGGGGTCTGTAGAAGTCAGCTGACCACTAGAAGTTGAAAGCTTCAGAACACCTTCTGATGAGAGGTGTAGAGAAGTATAAACATGCTTCGCTGCACTGTGCTGCCATGGGGAAACTATTCCTTTTCACTGAACAACTGTGTTTTCAGTTTCCTTCAAGGAACTGGTCTGGTATTTCAAACGCTGCAAATACATCGGCAGAACTGACAATCATCCACTCAAGAAAAGGAAGGGAGTTTTTGTCTCAGGTAGATGGTATCAGATGACACGTTTCCAGAGCCTCTCTTGGGGACTGCTCCAGGTGGCTCCTGATGGGAAGGACCATCTGTTTTCCTTTCCTAATGAAATAGGTTCCTTTCAAATGGACCCTTGCCAGGTTGTTAACTGTACAGTGTGACAGAGCATCACAGCTGACAGATAAGCACACCAAAATTATGTACTTCAGAGAAAACTGGCGCAAGGAAAACAGGGTGTGACCAGATAAGCAGGGCTCAGTATGAAGCATTCAAATCAAGAGTAATAAAGTCTAGTCTAGTTCCTATTTCTAAAGAACTGCTACTAAGAAAAATCTATACCATTTATTAGTGGGGCCAGAATATGAATAACATAAGAAAATTTAAACACTGGGGGGAGAGGGCAGGGGAGGAGATGATCCAACTACAGTGCTCATATCAAAAAAATAAAATGGGGGCTCACTGCCTTGGAAGGATCTGTTGTTCAGTAACTTCTATTCAAGGATTTTGTGACAGTCACCTAAGATGCTATTGAAAAACAGGATAAAGCTGGGTGTGGTGGTGCACACCTGTAGTCCCAGCTCTTTGGAGGCAGAGGCAGGTGAGTCTCTGAGTTCATGGCCAGCCTGGTCTACATCATGAGTTCTAGGCCATCTCCCATTACAGGGAGAACCTGTCTCAAAATCACCAAAATCAAAACTAAACAGTAACAACAAAAACCAACCCTAAAGCAACTACCAATACCACCAGATGCTTGAGTATGTTCAGGGAAAGGCACAACGCAGGGAAACAGATGCCACACTATCCTTAGCCCTTCTAGTGAATTTTTATTATTTATTTATTTATTTATTTAATTTTTGACTCTTCAAAACAGGGTCTCTCTGCAGCACCAGCTGGCCTGAAACTCATTATGTAGACCAGTAGACCAGGTTATCCTCAAAGATTTGCCTGCCTCAGCCTCCTGAGTGCTGGGATTAAAGGTATGTGCTACCATGCCCTGCCTGGTAAGCTTTTAAATGCTCAGGGCAAACCTAGACTATTACCAGGACCTCTGATTCTTCTTGGATTTGGTAATGCCTGGTATGATTAATTTCAGTTGCTGTCTTAGCAGACTTCATCACACAGACCTGTAACATTATAAATTGGTCCAAAAGTAAAAAGCAAAATGAGTGTAACAAAAGGTCTCTTTTTTTTAAATTTAGGAACTTTATTTTAGTACCAAAAAACTTCGGAGGAGAGCACAAGTACAGTCCACCACAACCACAAATGACACGTCGAGTTTCCCACACTGGGGAAACTGCAAATGTCAGCACATTAGGAATGCAACAGATAAGCTTTGCCTGGGAAAACCACCCTGGTGAGCAGAGTATCATTAAGTAAGGAAGTACAATCTCACTTTCTGAAAAACATAATTATGACATATACAAATGACTGTATTTCAAAAAAGAAATAAATACCTACCTTTCTGTGTACTGGATTAGAAACTGACTGCAGTTCAATGCTCACTCTAACAGTTACTCTCCTGTAGGAAAAGACATGCCCAACTATCAGAAATATTCAAGGGAAATGAGGTTTCATGATCATTTTCATCAGCTAAAGTTTTTGATCTTAAACCACAAGACTTTGCGTGGGTGCTCTCTGACTTACGTACATAGCACACAGAGCATCAAGTTCTTGCTGTTCCCCAAATAAGTAACCTGGTAGTTTTTAATGGAAGCCTACTCTTTTCCCAACTTTACAATGAGGATGCTGTGAGAACTACATGGTACCGAAAGTCGGAGTGCTCATTACTAGTATTCTGGTAGATAACCTTACTGCCCTGATTCTAAAAATAGCATCTACTGAGCCTGGACGTCTGGCTCAGTGGTTAAGAACACTGGCTGCTCTTGCAGAGGACTTGGGATTGGTTCCCAGCATCCACACAGCAGCTACCAACCTTCCTTTAACTCCAGTTCCAG